TAAAACTCATCAGTTGTATTTAGAAGCTGCTTCTCTCCGTTCATTTGTAACGCTCTAATTACTAAACAATACTTACCCGAGCGTAATGTGTAAAATATGCGAATTTTCTGTAGCTGTCGTCTCGACAGGCCACTACTCAACTTGGATTTGACTCGTCCGACAGGCCAAATCCGAACATGATATGAGCAAAAAACGATAAATCTTTGTGACTGCTGTTCCGACAGGCAGCTAATTCAAAATTTAAGATTTGATTGTCGCCCGACAGGTCAAATCCTACCGATATTCCCGAGCGTAATGTGCACGAATACAATAATATTCATGTGACTGCCGTCCCGGCAGGCCGCTTATCAATAATCTTAAGATTTCGACTATCGTTCTATGATACCAAAGTGACGCTTCTTTTGTGGCTGTCATCCAGACAGGCCACCTGCTAAACATAAGATTTCGACTCAAAGCTTGCTAAAAGTGCTCGTTGGGCTATACTACGAGAGTGGGAAAGGGTGGGACGAAAAAACCAGACAAAGTCGGATTAGCAGAAAAAACCAGAAATTATTTCGTTTGACATCCTTTTAAATATGCCCTGACGATTACGGATCAAAAAAAACTACATAATTACGTCGTTACTATAATGAACTCTAACGACGTGGTTACGTCGCTACTGTAATTAACTTTAATGATCACCATTACGTAATTATATCGATAAGCTCCAACAATTACTAATCGAAAATACTTCACAATTACAAATTGAAAAAAAAGACTACGTCGTTTTGTCATAAACACTCTTCATAATACGCCCCTACTAGTCAATCATTCGATCTTGAGACAAAATGCTGCTTCAAATACTATCGTATCGGGTAGCTAATTATCAATTACTTAATTTGGATACACAATAAAAGATAAGGAAATAATATATTTGATATTGTTACCGAAACGGCTCCGGAATTGAAGAATTATATACAAAAAAAATAATAAAAAGAAATATAGTAAATAGATTAAACGTCGATTCTATCTGTTATACTATTATTAAAACATAATTTGGATATTACACATTTAATAATTATGTTTTTGATCCACTTAGGTATTATTTTGTGCTTTACTATTAGTGAGATTAAAATTGAAGGATGTGGAAAAAATCATGAAAATTTAAAAATTTGTAACCTTTAAATTCACACAAAGTAATTAGTATAGGGGCAATCAAATAAAAAGAAGAAAAAGTAGATGTATGCATCTCTTTTAAAACCCCAATTACTATGAGGATCAGAATTTCATCGTTGAATTATTAATGTAAAAGTATATAAAAAATAATAATAAGGACGATGTCTCCAATTCAGGTTATTAATAATTTGAATGAGAGCTACCCTTGCCTACCATTATTAATATAAAACCTATTGATAATCTCGCACTGCTTTCGTATTGTTTTTGTTGTATTGATTTTGTTTAATATCATCTAATCGTTTACCTCGAGTATAGTCACCTTTTTGTCTTGAACTTTGCTAGTCTTTCGTCGGTTACACAAGATTTCCCGGTTAGTGCAGTAGTGATCGAGTCGCATTTTTCTGCATGTAATCTTATTTGCTAATGCAAATATTAGATTACAAATCAGATCATACTTTATCGCGGTAGAAAATGACAAATAAAAATATTTTTTGGTGAATACTGAGAATACTCGAATACTTGATGACCTTAGCACATTGATTGAAGATCGATGCGTACATACTCAATTGTTTGCCAAAATAATTAGCACTGAAATCAATGTGATAAGGTACTCGTGTATTCGGGTATTCCCCAAAAAACTTTTATTTGCCATTTCAACCATTTCGAAAACCGCGATAATTTTAGAATATTATTAGTTTTATTAATTTCGGATTATGTAAAAAGTAAATTACCCATATATGGAAAAATGAATCGGTCAAAATTAAATTTAGGCATTGAGAATATTAATTACACCTTTGGTATCTTCGGTACACAAAATTAACCGTATTCTGATCGTGCAACAATTATTAGTTTGTGATTAATGTCTACAAAGAAAAATAACACTTATTACTTTGCGATTAATGCCTACAAATAAAAATAGCCAAAAAAGCAACCTTTTATTATTACAGATTAACATATAAAGAATTACAAAATAGATTCCTTGCATTAAATAGAAATGGTATGAATAAATTTTCACATATATAAATTGACTTTTCCATACCATCTTCCCTTTGTTATTCATAAAAATAGACATTTCAACATCTTAAATTTATAATGTTGAAACATCTAACGTTGTTAATCTTTATTATTGCAATCCTCTGTAGTTTAACCTATGCTACAACACCCAAGATACCCTTGCAATGGAGAAGAGATGAATTATTTGGAGCATTTCAGGATGATGCATATTATATTGGAACATTCTCAAATCAATCTTCTTTGGTAGAAAGAGACATTGTCACTTGTCAACCTGGATATTATCAATGTCCAGGAAGTAGTTTATGTTGTTCCCTACAATGTGGTATAATTTGCGATAATATTGGATGTTGTCCATCGGGTTATGGTTGTTGTGGACAATATTGTTGTGAGACAGGTTATAGTTGTTGTGGAAAATATTGTTGTAAGTCAGGTTACTATTGTTGTAGTGATAAAATTGGATGTTGTGCGCTAGGTTATAAATGCGCTAGTAGTGGTTTATGCAGTAAACCAATAATATCAACAACAATAACACAAATAACTCAAGAAGTTGTTGAGTACGTAGTTAGATACATTAGTAAATATGTAATAGTGACAACGACGACAACAACAATAACAATAACAGTAACTCAAGCATCAACAACAGTGATAACAGCAACACCAACAGAAACAACAACAGCAACCGATCAAGGAGTAAAACAATGGGCAACAAAAAATGGATACACAGATAAAGAAGTTGAACAGTTAGAAAAAACTGCTGAAAAATTAGTAAAGTGCATAAACAATATTGGAATAAGTTTCGCGAAATCAAATGCGACAAATAATTCTTCTTGCATCTCATGTGAACATATGAAGAGTTTATCTAATCTTGATATAGATTTACCACCAACAAATGACGAAATTATAGCAACATTAAAATTATTATATTCAATAGGAGAAGATATAAAAGATGCTAGTAAATGTAAATTTAACTTAGCATGTGTGAACGGAACTGATTCTTGTCCACAAAATTCAAAACTAAAGTCATCAAACAATTTACCATCTTTGGGATGTATTTCAAACCCTGTTAACAGTTCCCTTATGGCAATAGGATTAATATTGTATATAATTATGAGTCTAGGTATTTTTTATATATAGCGATCCTTGATTAGGCAATCGTAAATAATATTAAATATTATACAGTACTATATATTATTATTATAATTCTCATTCGTTTTTATTCCTATTAATTATGTTATATTTGATCTCTAATAATGGTAGCTACGTGATGTAGTCGCACTCAAGCCAAAACATATATGTAGATCTTTACTGGCTGGTTTTTACGTAATTTTTTTGTTATATTAAGAGTTAATTAGTTGTTTTGTTTGATTATTTTTATGTTTATTTATTCTACTTCCTTCTATTTTATTGTTTATTTATTCTACTTCCTTCTATTTTATTGTTTTTTTTTTCTCTTATTTTATTTTAGTTCTATTTTTATCTTATTTTTATTTTTTTTTAGAAAATACTTGCGTATAACTTTGTTTTATATACATGTTATGCCAATTAGTGTTACAAATCGGCAAAATTTTTATTTTTTCAGTTGGTTGCAACTAATCGATTAATCGACGAGTTGCAACTAATCGATTAATCAATGAATTGCAACTAATTCATTAATACATAATTTTTCAATCGATTCTTGATTAATTCTTTAGTCGATTACGTAGTTACAACTAACCGATTATCGATTAATTGATTAATCGATTAGTTGGTATCTAAAAAGTTCAATCGATTAGTTGTCAACTAACCAGCTAATCGATTTTGATTTTTTCAACTTTCAATTTGTAACACTAGTGTCAATATCCATCGTTTAAAGTGCCTTTTTTGACGCTTCGAAATTAATTACTGTAAATTAATAAATCATAGGTTATTCCAAATCTGTCAATAATATGTTTCAATCCAACGTATTCATTCATGAATACAAATTTCATTATATTTTACATATTCAACCATCATCCAATCGTATTACCGGATTTGTGCACTTGCCATTCTAATTAGGGTAGCAGTCGCGCTTAAACCAGGAACGTAGCATATAGAGTTTTGTCTTGAAAATCACATAGTAATACATACGCACCAGGGCCACCGGTCATTAGAAAAAAAAAATGCTAGCCAAGATCAGCTAGTAAATTTTCGCAAAATTAACAAATCAACCAATTAAAAATTTATACTTGGTTAGTATAAATCTTAATGTATCCATTTTTTTTTTCTTTTTCAGTGAGTTCTCCATTGATCATCTTAGTGAGTTATTCAGTCATCATCTAACATACGCATACAATTACACATTTACGTAAATCAGTTTTACAAAAGTAATAGTCACATGTTTAGTGCAAAGGTAGTAAATTTCGCATCTTAACGCAAACATGGGTTGCTAGCTATTTTGCTATAAAAAAATATATATATAGTTGCTACAAAACCGAAGACCCTGGTACGTATAACTACTAGGGATATTATCCTGTTCCAACCAGTTAATTTGCGTTTAAAAACTCGTTGGAACACTGTTTCAAACCATATACGTGAAACCGGTTATCGAACTCAAATACGGTGTACCATAGGTACCCAAAGTGACATAGTTTGTGTTTTAGTTTTTTAGTGTTTTAATGTTTTAGTGTTTTAGTGTTATAGACATTAAAAATTATTCTATAAAAGGGGGACCGTTAAAGCCATGTACCCACGTGACTTTTGAAAATTTAATTGTAATTAGGGTCAGTGTTAGTTTAATGTTAGGATGAGAGTAGGTTTATAGGTAAAATTACCTTCCCGACATTTTTTATTAATGTACCAAGACAGGTTTAGAATGCCATTTTTCATATCTTTGCGTTTTTTGATTTTTTTGATCAAATTTCATGATTATGATTGGTTGATCTACATATAAAAAGTCACGTGGGTACATGGCTTTAACGGACCCCTATAAAAAGAAATTATTACCAAATTTAGCAACAAATTTTTTTTGATTTTGTGTTTGTGATTTAGTGTTTTAGTATTTTAGTAATTTAGTGATTTAGTATTTTAGCAATTTAGTGATTTAATGATTTAGTATTTTAATGTTTTAGTGTTTTAATGTGTTAGTGTTTTAATGTTTTAGTGTTTTAATGTTTTAATGTTTTAGTGTTTTAGTGTTTTAGTGTTTTAATATTTTAGTGTTTTAGTGTTTTAGTGTTTGAATGTTTTAAAATTTGTCCCAAATATGGTAGTTATGATAGATACATCATGTATAATAATCGAATCAGCTAGAATCACCTCTAGAAGTTCAGGTAATGATCTACATAATTGATAGGTATAGAGATAGGCAAAGTAATTTTGTAAGTAATAATGACTTATAACTTATCTCTTACTTAATATTAAGTAATTATTACATTCAATTATCTATTATGTATATATACAAAACACATGATAAAAGTCAGAGACAGGTGATCAAAATTGAGATTAAATAAAAAGGTGTTAATAATAATAAAATTACAGTCAGACCTCTCTAAATGTATCCCCCTAAATGCATAATCTCTTTAAATGCATATTAATTGTTTGGCCCATTGACGGGCTTAATAAATAAATGCATATTCTTTATTCTGCAAATGCATACTAATTTTTTGGCCCACATATAATAAATCCCTCTATAAATGCATATCACGTGACTAACAGCCAATCAAATTGAGATAACGTATTATCAAATATAAAAATATTATTTATTTTAAAATAGAATTTTATTAAAATTCTAAATTTTTTTTAAATAATCTTCATTTTAGTAACATGTTAATAACCAAATAAATGCCTTGTGTTTATTATTTTCAACCCAATTCCTCTAGACAACAATAACTAACATTAAATATTCCTATATCATTATCTATCTCGTAGATTCCAATAAATAAATGCTTAATTTCATCTTTTAGCGCTTTCATAGCAATACCTACTAAAAGTTCCACCGGCACCCCCTATCTCAGCAAGTTTTTGATAATAAATGATGCCTTATATTTGAGGCTAGTTAGCAAAACATAGATTATGTAGTATAAAATAAGATGTAAAACATATACAACAATTATCACTCTTTTTTTTTAATTTGATCAATGATTATCGTAATTTTTTTTTTTTTGCCACCTTATGTTCGTCATATTTTGTGAATTTTATCAATAAAATAGAAATGTATAAATAATTAAATGAATTCCACAAAATACGACAAAGTTGAAGTGACTTTTATATTGTCATCAAGCAGTTACGGGACTCTAAAAAAATTATGATATTGCTGATCCAGCTAAATAAAAAAGAGTAATAAAAACTGACTTACGATTAGTATTACAAATCAGATCAAAAAATGCAATCGATTAGTTGGCCAAAAATTTTTAAAAAATTGATTAGAAATCGATTGTTGCCAACTAATTGATTAGTTGGTATATCGAAATGGCTTGGATATAATTGTATAGTCACTAATTACAAGATTAAAGAAGATATCATATAAAACAACTAGTCGATTAGTCGATCGATTAGTTGTCTAATAAAATTATTAATT